AGTGGATCATGACATGAGCTTTATTTCTCAATTGGGGTGGTGATAATAGCGGGTCATGAGTTGTTTTCACCTGACAGATCATGGCCTTACCAGTTTTGTGTCTTGGATTCATTTTGAACATTGGAGCCCAACTTGTGTGTTGTTGACTTCAATATTTTTATGAGGTTCGGTTGGGTGATTTTTGGAGACCTGCATTATTTCTATTTGTTGTTCTCATTTTCTTTCCATCTCACACAGTTGGTCAGTTAAGTGGTGTATCCTTGGTGGAGGCTGTCCTGGTCTTGTGTATTGTTAGGTTCTATTCGTCAGCAAAGAGGTAAATTATTTAATTGGTATTCTCTTACTTTCCCTCCCGTTTTATATTTAACTACCATGGGCCCATTTTCTACTTCATATATTGATGCACTGAACAGGAATCGACTTAATTTCCATCGCAAATTAATGTTTTAAAAATATTTTATTGTTTATAATAATGGAACTTTATCACATTAAGCCTAACGAAGTGGCTATTCGTACTTAAGTACGGCTAGACTGTACGGCTAGACTGCCAGTCTAGTCGTACTTAGATCTAGGTTTGGCCCTATCGACTCAAGCCTGTTTAGTACACAGGTCTCATTAGATCTAGATCTAGTAATTATTCAGGTTCAAATATATACAAGTCAGTAAGGCACCTTTTGGTTTTGTCTGAAATACAAATACTTTAAACTTTAAGCATTGCAAACTAAAAATTTCATTTACAATTCAGCCATCAATATTAAGTACGGCTAGCCTCTTCCTAAGCCTAATTACGTAGTAATGTCTTCTCTTTGGACCAATAGGGAGTTGCCTCCCTGAAGTAAGAGAAAAAAATCTGTGGGGGTGACAGGGGGGCCTGTTTTAATTTATTATTTGATATGATGTTTTGGAGTCAGGTTTGGAATTTTTTTGAAAATAATTTATTTGCGACAGCTTTAGTGGCTTATGTGATGTGCGGCAATTGCAGTTTGAACCTCAAAGCAGTGCATCTGTGTGCGTGAATGAATGTAAAAAATAGATCTATAGATATAAGTAAGTTGTTCAGGGTTGTCATTTGCTTCTTGCCTTAATATGACATGTTATTTTTTAATTTTTGCAGATGGATCAGTTAAAAGTGGCAATCCGAGTGCGTCCTCTGTTACAAAAGTAAGTCCAAAGGAGGCAGTAGATGTTTCTTTTGATGTTGTGTTCTTACCCACTTCCATGTAGAACTAATTTTCAACGTGGTAGAATGTATCAGATGTCGCATTTTAACTACATCAAAAACAAAGACAAATTACAAAAAAAGCAATCTGCTAAAACTCTACGTCAAGTGGGTGGAAAAACAATTTTAGTCTAGCTTTTATGTTGTGAAAATGATAGTAACCTGAAGTTGGGGGAGTTTTTGAAGATGTAGGTTGTTTTTCCTCGATGTCAATGTTGAAAGTCTAAAACATCTACCCAGTTGGTCAATCAGCAATAGCTACACATTGATAATGATTTGACAAATGTTTGCTCTCTTACAGTGAAATTGACAAGGGGTTGACGAGCCGATGGATAACTTCTGAGGCCACCATTAGACCCGAAGGCTCATCAGGCCCCGAATATGCCTTTGGTAAGTCACATGATGAGTTGTCATCATTTTTTTGACTCTTACTTCTCTTTTACTTTTAGATGATGGATTAGTTGACCAATGTTATTTTGTTTTCATTCTTTATTGCTTGTACATGGGCTGTTGGAGGGCGCCTCTAGTAGGTCGTACTTCTTTTTTTTACCTCTGTTACTTCTGTTTGCCTTGCTATTTTCCTGCATTAAATGGCCTTTACTTTATTATTGTGGCAATGTGCTTCTCTCCATTGAACTGCCTTTAATGTGTGGGTGATTCGACCCTATCAAGCACCAACTGATTTTATTTCTCTTTCTTTTCTTTGTACGTTATTCTTTAGTAATAGTAACACTTCAAATCTTTGGCACTTGTAAGACCTATTTGTGTTATAAGTGCCACACAGTTCCTACTAAACCAAAAACAAAGAAATTAGTAAATGTTCAATTGTTCACGAAATACTAGTAGTGTTATTTCTGTAACATTGTATTTATGTTCTTTTAGGACCATGTATATGACGGAAAAGTTTTGATTTCAACCATTTATTTATCATTGTCCTCTGTTCTTTTCAGACCATGTGTACAATGAAAAAGTGTCGAATTTGAAGATATACAAGGAGATGACACACAACATGGTACAACGGGCCATGGAAGGCTTTCACGGTTTGTTTCTTACTTTTCTTGTCTAGATAACCGAATTGTGGGATGGTAAGGGGATGCCCCCAAAAAATGTACGTAATTTTATACTGCCGTAAGCTGACAAAATGGCTTTTTTTCTTTCTTCACAGCAGTTTCGAGAAAAAGTGTTTATCAGCGTAACCATTGAAAAATAGTCATTCATGATTCCGAAATTTGAATTCTGATTTATTAAAAAACTAGTCAGTTTCTCTTTGTTTTCACCCGAATAGGGTAACCTATCAGACTTTCAATTTAGAAAAAAAAAAAAAAAATTAGTGCCAAAATGGAAAGAGGCATTTTGTCAGCATACGGCAGTATAGGTCTAACAGCCCTTTCAACATTGTAAGAAATAAACTACTGTATGAGCAAACATATCAGCATTATTATTTAGCATCCTAATGCCGACCTGCCAGGTACTTGAGTAAACAGGCATTTTTACATCACTGGTGATGATATACATGGACAAAATGACTACGGCTATTGTGTTATGACTTTTGTCAATAACTTTTCTATTCCAGGCACTCACATGTTCACATGTATATCACTTTCATAAACATTTTTTAATTCACTCTTTCGTAAACATAAATATTTATACTCTCCTGTCTCAGAAACTGTTCACATATATCACATTAATGGACATATTTTTTATTTACTCTCCTGTCTCAGGCGCAGTGGGTTTTTTTTTCTCTTTTTTTGGTAAGTGTTTTACGGCGCTCGCAACTGCATAAGGTCATATGAGCGCACGGGACACACCAAATATTTTCAGCATTGGTAGGAAATTTTGAACTTTGCACGGATTGTGGCCGAAGCCTACTCTTATCCATTTTAGACCACAGAGTTTGCAACTTGCTCATTGGATCTGAGATTTTTTACCCTTGTCCGAGAAGGCTAGGTGTAGATCTTTCCTACCAGAAGATCAGGGGCGTGGCTGAAAGACAGCAGTAAGAAGGAGCCAAGGAGTAGCAGTAGAAAGGCTACAGAAAGAGCCAGGAGCCCAGAGGAGGGGGCAAAGGAGATGATGGGGTGGGGGCAGAAAGTGGAGACAAATCTAGAGAGCAGGGAAGGAAGAAGTGAAAGGAGACAATTTTAGAGAGGAACATTTTTCCATCGCTTCCTGGATTCGAACTTGGGACCTTTGAATGAGAGGCGAACACCTTAACCTCTAGGCCACAAGAACCCCGCACTCTGTTTACATAGCACATTACACGGGGAGTATTGCATACGGATGTATCTCAAAGGCCGCCAAAAATGACTTACGTCTGTATGCAATGCTGCCCGCGATTAGTGAACCTATTTTTAAATTCACTCTTTAGTAAACATTTTTTAATTCACTCTTTAGTAAACATTTTAGTACTGTCCTGTCCCAAGCACTCTGTTTACACATCTCATTAGTGAACATATTTTTTATTTCTTCTTCTGTACCAGGAACCCTTTTCACCTATGGACAATCCGGCTCCGGAAAGACCTTCACCATTGATTCTCTCAGATCTGAGGCTCTGAAGAATATATATGAATACATTGAAAATGTAAGTGAAGTGACTTGTGCGTTTCTTGCTTTGCCTGTGCAGATGGTTGGAGAGTGCTGCTATTATTTTGTTTTTCTTTCCCTATTTCTTCACTTTCCCTCCCTTCTGTTGTTTCTGGTTTCTCTAGTCTGTCTTACTCTTTCCTTGTACTTAAATGATTATTTTTGAGTCCATGCCTTTATATTTACTTAATATACTCAAAGTGCCATTGAGTGTGACATGAACAATTGTAATTTTAGTTCTTCAGTCTGAGAAATACGGAAACTGTTTGACATTGTAATTTTTGTTCTTTATTGATCAGGGAAATAGGGAAATTGTCTGAATGGAAAATTATTTGACCGTGTACTTTTGGCCCTTCGGTCAGGGAAATGGGGAAATTGTTTGACAGTGCAATTTTAGTCCATTATATTGGTCAGGGGAATAGGGATATTGTATTGCAGTCCATTATTGGTCAGGGAAATAGGGAAATTGTTTGACATTGTAATTTTAGTCCATCATTGGTCAGGAAAATGAGGACATTTTTCCGGCTCATAGTAATTTTAATCCCTCGTCATCCAGTTTTGAGAGAAATAGTGTAACAAATTTTTTTTGTCCTCCTTTGCTCAGTGTCCGGCTCGAGAGTTTCTCGTTCGATGCTCATACATTGAGCTCTACAACGAGAAACTGGTGGATCTTCTGGCAGACGAACAGGCTGATAATAAAGAGCTGAAGATCCGAGAGGATCCCGTAAGTTGTGGGGACGGTCCCACGGGGGATTTAATCAGTAGCATCATTATCATCATCATTGTCATCATCATCATCAGCATCATCATTGTGTAAAAAGCAGAGTAGGTAGGGAGAGTCTTGATTGACTTATAGACAAAAAGTTTTTAAAAAATATTCAAAATTTGGTATATCGTCCAATATTTTGCCACGTAGGCTTCCTCAGGAGCAACCACCACCACCACCATCATCATCATAATTTTGTGATTTTAAAATTTTTTATTTTGCTAACCTTCAGGAAAAGAAGATAATCATTAAAAAAATTTTAAGGGTTAATTTATCATTATTGTTGATGTGCAAAGATTTAGTGAGTTTTTTTTTTCTTAGAATCTTTAGGATGATATTGTCTACTATATCCCCTAGAGAGGTCATCATTATTGTTATTAATTATTATTCTGTTATCATCATTATATTTATTCTCATTGTTGATATTCTAATGGTGATTATTTTTATATTTATTATCATAATCATTAATGTTGTAATAACAAAACTGAAGTTTCTTTTTCGTTTACCTTTAGGACAAAAATGTATACATTGACAATCTTGTTGAAGACGTGATTGTTACCCTCGATGACTCTGAACGCGTTTTAAACAAAGGCAACGGTGAGTTCTCTGAGTTGTGAGGAAATGTGGGATTGATCTATCTGGCTGGTTGGCTGACTAGTTTGCTGGCTGTTACTCTGTATGTTTGTCTGTCCGTCCGTCCATCCTATGTTTCTGTCCGTCCATTCGTCTGTACGTATGTGCGTTTTAGTTTAATGACATTGATAAAGATGCCCAAGAGTAGAGTAGCGCATGGGTAATGATGAAGGAAAGAGTTACAAACCCACCCGCTTATGCGAGTGGTTGACGGGTGCTCTGATGCGGTTTGCTCCTTTTTCTTATCAAACATCTATCATCCTTATCTGTCCTCCTCTTGTTTTTTGGTGTTTGTTACTCTACTGTCTACTGTAACATTAACGCCTATTATCTTCGGCGCTTGTATGACTTAATTGTGTTTCATGATGTGCTGTAAAATGCTTACTAAAGCAAAAAATTATTGGAAAAGAGAAGAGAACCTTTGCGTGGTGGTAAGTGATTTGGAACTGTTTTCACTTTCAGAAAAGCGGACTTTTGCCGAGACCAGACAGAATGATCGCTCTTCCCGTGCCCACTGCATCTTTAGAGTGGTGAGTTGTTTGTGTTGTGTACAAACTGCAATGTTTTTTTTTGGTTTTTAAAAAAATTGGTGGTGTTGGTCTCCAGATCATCGGTTTCCTCCTCCTTGTTTTCTTTCTCCTCCTCATTTTCTTTCTCATCCTTCTTCTCTTTCTCCTCCTTTTTCTTCATCTCCTCCAAAAAATTGACCAGATCTGAAACAAGTACTAGCAGTTATTGTTTGCACTCATTTCTCTACTCGGATGCCCTCAGACAAACAAAATAAACCTCACAATAACGGTTTCAAGTTTTCCCGGTCAAAGACGGTTGCAGTACACTTCTGCCGAACAAGCAGATGTGTACTGCAGCCGGATTTGAAACTATACGGGGAAAGGATTCCCGTCCAGGACCAGGCTCGTTTCCTAGACGTTATATTCGACAAAATACTCAACACTCCGCACATCAAAGACATTTGTGTGAGGTGCCAGAAAGCGTTAAATGCTTTGAAAATTCTATCGCATCCGGAGTAGGGCAGGGACCTTCTCCACTTGTACATCTCCCTTGTCCGATCCAGGCTTGACTTCGGCTGTCAGGTCTACTGATCGACAAAACCCACATCCTGAAAATGCTAGACCCTGTACAAAACCAAGGACTCCGCCTCGCTCTGGGGGCTTTCCGCATTTCCCCGGTGGAGAGCCTCCAGGCTGAGGCAAACATACCATCACTCTCACTCAGATGCACACAACTCTCACTACAATACGCAATTAAACAGAGCTCAACACCAGAAAATCCAGCGCACAACTGCATTTTTACAACAAACCCAGAAACCATAAACAAATTCCAAAACAACGAAACACTCAAACCCTTCGGCCTCAGAATCCTTGTGGACCTAAAAAGCTTACACTTTTCCAAACAAGATATTCAACAATTTTTTTTCCCGGACCTCCCTCCTTGGCACTTCACCAAGGCAAAAGTAGACTTACAGCTGACCACACACGACAAAGAAAGCACAAACCCCAAAACTTTTAAAGCAGAATACAAAAAACTAATAGATAAATACCCTGGTGCAGAGCCTGTCTTCATGGATGGCTCCAAAAAAGACTATAATGTAGGGGCCGCAGCCCTATCTTCCAACAGTACACACAGAGGAGACTCCATCCTGAAGGCTCCATTTTCTCTGCGTAGGCCACTGCCGTTGACATGGCACTGGACTCCGTAGAAGATTCTCCTAACAAATATTTCCTTATCCTTTCTGACTCTCTGTCTTGCATCACCTCACTCACAAACTACTCACTCCTACACCCAAAAATAGGCTACAACAGAAAATTCACACCCGATGTGAAACAGGAAAAAATGTCATTTTCGCATGGTACCTAGCCATGTGGGCATCCGATGAAACGAGCAGGTAGATGACCTGGCGAAGAAATCCTCATCCCTTCTGTTGGGATCAACGACGAATACTCTCCCACCGACTGACTTTAAAAATAAAGTCAATAAGTACACCTCCAGTGTGTGGGAGAGCCACTGGAAAAAACAGAAAAATAACAAACTCTATAATATAAAACCCAAACTATATGAAATAAAACCCAAACTAGAACAGCGAAATCCTTCGGACCTCTCCAGAAGAGACAAAGTCATTTTTACTCGTTTGCGCATCAGACACATGGCCCTGACACACAAATACCTGCTACAGGGAGATGAGAAACCGTTCTGTGTCGGATGCGACCCAGATTTTACCATTAGACACATTTTAACCGAATGTCTAGACTTTGGAGAGATCCGAAGGAAATACTTTAAAAGCACAAAATTACGAGACATTTTTTTCCGTCGTTGTTGCCAACAGAATTTTAGATTTTACCAAGGCCTTTATGGAAAGTTATGAAACAGATGGTTCGAAAATGTTTAAGTGTTATTTAGAAAGTTGTTTTACATTTAAATTTAAATCTAAAGCCTATTTACACTCAATTTTTAGCATATTAAAAATGTTTAAATAGAAATATTGACCAGTATCAAGCCAAGAAAATGAACCGTTGAGAAAAAAACAACTTGCTTTGCACGCTCATATAACCTTGTGCAGTTGCGAGCGCTGTAAAACCCCATACTATACAAACAAACAAACCTCCCTAAAAAAACCCAACCTAATATTATTTTGTTGTCGAGTTCAATTTCTGAGTGGTGAAATTTCTGTTATTATAAAACTGTTTCAATAGTTCCACAAGCCGGTGACTCAGTCAATTTGTTTTAATCAAGCATCTGCTTGCTGAGATGTTTCCCACTTGCTCAGCCTGGGTTTTGCTTGACAGGTTGTGTCAAAGCCGTTTTAAAAATAAATTATCGCATTATTTTTTAAAATCACGTGTTATCTTTATTTTTGTTTTCACTGCTGTTCGAATTAACGCTGCTGTACAAATTAATGGATACTGTGAATATAAGCAGATTAGGCGAGGAGTGAGGCAAGGATGTGTTATGTCACCAGACATCTTTAACTAACATGTACAATAAAACAATCCTTAGAAACTTAGAAGAATGTCCAGGCCTCAAAGTAATTCGAGAAAATATTATCTGGTATGCAGATGACACAGTTTTAATAGCAGGCTCCGAAAAAGGACCTTCAATTGCTTCTAGGTACTATTGTAAGAGAAAGTGAACGTAAAGGATTATTGTTGAATGTAAAGAATACAGAATACATGGTAATATCCAAAAAAGCAGCAAATCCTAGTTGTAATCTCATCAGCAAAGGTGAAAAGATCAAACAAGTCCAGTAGTTTAAATATCTAGGATATATAACATCTGATGCCAAATGTTCCACAGAAATAAAAAGAACTACAATGGCTAAGGCTAGTTTCAATAAAATGAGCCCAATCCTGAAAAGTAGAAACATCTCTATGAACACCAAAATGAAAGTCCTGAAATGCTTTGTTTGGTCACCCTTCTATGTGGCTGTGAATGCTTGACAATCACTAAAGACAGTGAAAATAAAAAGCGACTGAAATGTGGTTTCTTAGGAGACTGCTAAGAGTATCGTGGAAGGAAAAGAAATCAAATGAGGTAGTGCTTGATGAAGCCCACGTGGGACGCTCAATGTTAAAAACAATCAGGAAACGACAAATGTAGTTTTTGGGACACCTGAATAGACAAAAGGGTCTTGAACATCTAGCTCTCACTGGCAAAATTGAGGGCAAGCGAGGCAGGGGAAGGCCCAGAACAGCATACTTAGGGAACCTAAACAAATGGGTAACAGGGGAAGATCAGGGAAACATAGCTTTTTTGAGAGCATCCGGGCAAAGGAATGAATGGAAAACCATGATCGCGATGTCTGTGGCAGATCTGGCACTCGATGACGATGACCCTCATTATTTATATTATTATCGTTATATAATAGTGTTGTTCTTACTATTTTATCGCCCTTCTTTATTTTCATCATTATAATCCTTTTATTTTTCAACATGAAAATGTGTTCATTTGTCGTTTTTACAGTTGTGTGTCTGTTGTTTTTCCCTCAGGTGATAGAAAGCAGAGAGAGAGACGATCCAAATCGCTCGGGAGTGTTTGTGTCTCATTTGGTGCGTTTTGCCAGAATTTTTTTAATTTATGAAGGACTTTGGCCTTTATGCGAAATTGTAAAACGAAATTAAATTATTAAAAATTATGTTATTTCGGGAAGTTGTTTTAGATTGAAAAAATATTTTTACATCGAATTTTAAATGTTTTTAATTTTACCATTTCAAGACCTAACTACTGACCGGTGTCCAGCTGTACAGTGAACTGCAAATAAAACTAACTTGTGTTTCGCGCGCTCATTTGACCATATGCAGTTGCGAGCGCCGAAAAACCCCATACTAAACTAAACTTCGGCACTTATATCAAAGATAGTACAGCCTACGGTAAGATGCTGCAGTGGCCCAATTTTGTGAGGTACGTCGACTCCTAGCGTCACTAGCGGCGAGCGTGCGACAGTATGTAAACAAACACGGCGTGAGACACGCAACGCTCATGCTGTCGGCATGACTGGTCAGTTTTTTTCAGCGATCGGCCGTTCTAATTCCAGAGGAAAAACTAAATAATTGTCTTTCTTCAGATTTCCAAAGGACGAAAAATGGAAAGACAATGTGAAATTGATTTTTTAATCAAGAGTCTAGATTAGAGCTAAACTAGAGAGATCAGAGTCCAGCCTGTAAGCTTTGTTTACTCTCTGCATCATGCATCCTTGACTATGACCAATGCTTTGTACTCTGTACTTTGTTGTGTGTGGTTTCATTCCATTTGGTGTAGAACTAGATTCTAGATGCAAATGTTATATAGATCTATATGTTTTCTGTGTTATAGGTTATTATGTAATTTGTTCTTTAGCACAACACAGAGAGATCAGTATTTTGCATATTAATCTGTAACTTTTTATGACGTATGGGCCATTGACCTCGAAAGTCAATAAAGTCTAATTCAATTCAATTCTCTCTCACCACACATACTCATACACACTTGCACGCACGCACGCACACACGCGCACACACACACACACACACACACACACACACACACACACACGCACCATATGTCCTGACCACTTCTGTACATTTTATCATCATCACGGTCACCATCACATCATCATCATCAAATCATCTTCATATACATCACAAAAATCACCTCCACAAACATCCAGTGGCGGTGGGTGGACCAAGATTTGGGTGAGGCTAAGGTTGGTTCCATTTCTTTACTACCAAAAATCAAGCGCTATGAGCTCAACAGTGATGAATTTGCTATACTCACGGTGAGCCACAGTATTTTAGGAACAATTCGAAAGAGGAAAATCAACTTTGTCTTCCATCTCTTTATTCTAAGTTAGCTCTAGATTCTTCTGGATGGCGGGGACGAAACCGTTTCCTTTCCAAATTTTTTTCTAATTTTCATCTAATGAAAAAGTTGCCTTAAAAGTGGTAGATCTGCGACGTGATTTATAACACTTAAATAAGTTAAATCTCAGGGGCACACACAGCGCCTCAAGCATATTATTATTTCGTCTATGATGAGCTGGTATCAGCTGTGTAGTCGAGGAAAATTGAAAAAACCTAACGAAGGTCCAATGAGTGCATAGGTAACTGTGTCACTGGGGAAAGTGTGTCGTAAACGTTCACCCTGTTGTCAAGGCTAGGAGAGCGTGAGCCCTTAGAAAAGAGAGAGACATAATATACTTCTATGTTGTATTCTTTGTACTCTTTCTCTCTCTCTCTCTTTCTCTCTCTCTCTCTCTCTCTCTCTCTCTCTCTCTCTCTCTCTCTCTCTCTCTCTCTCTCTCTCTCTCTCTCTCTCTCTCTCTCTCTCTCTCTCTCTCTCTCTCTCTCTCTCTCTCTCTCACTCACTCACTCACTCACTCAGTCACCCATTCATCTATCTCTGTGTGTGCATGTTTGTCGTTTTAACTGTAATAGCTTATTAGTTCCCCCCCCCCCCCCCCCTCTCTCTCTCTCTATTCTGCTATTGCAGCGTTCCCTGGTATATCTAATACTACTTGACACTATCTTTTGATTTCTAATAATGCATACTCCTAAAGATCCTGTCATCAAAACGATCAATAATATTGCATTGGATATATTCTAGGCCTAGATTTCATGATCTAGATCTTGATTTAGTAGATCGTGAGCCTATGTCACCCGTTACCGAAGTGAGGCTATTTTTTAATCTAATGTTTTCCTTTTAAAATATTTTAGATCTAGATAAATTATTAAAATACGTTGATCAGTACTTTAGTTTGGTAGATAGGTCTATATAATTATTTAGATCTAGATTAGAATGGGCCCTAGAGTAGGATTAACAAGGACGCTCTCATATTCTACTCTATCCAACAAGCCCAGGGCCAAGCCATCGGGGCTCAGTCACACGCTCGCTGGGGGCGTGGCCTATTTTATGCGTGCTACGTTTTTTTTTACAGAGGGAAAGAGGGAACTGCAGCATCTTACCGTAGGGTGTAGTATCTTTGCTTATATGACCTTATTGTGTTGCAAGTGCTGTAAAACTTTTACTAAAACTAAAAACACCTCTTCTTTTCCTCCCTCTCCCTTCCAGAATCTGGTGGACTTGGCCGGCAGTGAGAGGGCGGGGGAAAACATTGGCGACCGCAGAAGAGAGGGCTGTTCTATCAATACCTCTCTTCTGTGGCTTAGCCAAGTTATAAAACAGCTCTCTTTGGGACAAAGGTTAGTGACGCAGTGCGACTGTTACAAGCTTGCCAACTGTCCCAAATTTCCCACTGTTGACACTGCCGTAAAACACCTACTCAATCAGCTTAGCTCTATAACCCAGAAGTAGACGATTGGTGGAGTGTTCAGTGAAACTCGCTCGGTCTCCGAGTGGACAGTCCCAGCTCCCAGTCAGATCGCAGGGCGTATGAAATATTACTTACTGTTAATACAATCTTTTACGAATCTAGATAGATTTATTTTGACTTAGAGAAGTGTTAGAGAAATGTAACTGCCTTCCTCTTTCACTTTGACACAGTTTTAGCTATTTTATGAATATTTTCCATGTAGACCCTATTACTTGTAACACCTCTAATCTTCATCATTTTTTTTTTCAGCAATCAGTTGATAAATTTTAGAAACAGCAAGCTAACAAGATTGCTCCAGAATGCACTTGGAGGGAACTCCCAGACAGGCGTTCTCTGCACAGTGAACCCCACTGCAGTAGAAGAAACGCACTCTACTCTGAAGGTGTGTAGATCATTTGTGAGGCAGCGTTTTGAAATGAGGCGCTCTTTAAAATAATGACATTGAAGAAATCAGCATTTTTTTCTGCCAGTTGGATTTTTTTGGAATTGATGTATTTTGGCTCATTACCTGCTATGTCTATTTAAGAAAATATTTCTGTATGGATTTTACTGAAAAACGCTGATTAAAAGCACAACAAAAGTAACTTTTCTGTTTTCAAGGACTCTCAAGCTTTGGAAATCAACAAACTTTGGCAGCCATTTTCTCGCTAATTTAACCTCTTAAACCATGCTACCCCACTTCCTTTAATTGCAAATATCACGACTTCTATCCAAGGCAGTTGTGTATTTTTTCATCAGAAACAAGACAAACGAACAGGCTTTATGGTGATATTAATAACTCCACCTGCCTAGAAATTGACGAGTGCCCGATTCCACCATGTCATGACACATTTAGTAGATGGGTGGTTGGAGGGGGCTCTGGTGGGGGTTTGCTCCCTCTTTATCAGACATTTATCATCCTTATCTCTCCTCCTTCTTTTTTGTGTTTGTTACACTCTAGTGACATCTCCAATCTTGGGCTGGGTGGTTGGCGGGTAATCTGATGTTGTTTACTCCTTCTCTATTATCAGATATTTATCGTCCTTATCTCTCCTCATTTTCTCTGTACATTACTCTCTAGCAGCGTCTGTAATTTTTGGGTGGGTGGTTGGTGGGTGCTCTTATGAGGATTGATCCTTCTTATAAAAAATCTATTGGCCTTAAACCCCCTGGGGTGGTGCTACTGACTTGAAGTGTATTGAGGCCATTCCGAAAGGGGGGACATTAACATGTTCTTATGCACAGTAGAATTGTAAATGGGCTGATTCATCGTCATGCTCATAACTGTGCCTGAACTGCAACAGGGAACTGCTGCTTTTTCTTCCCTAATCCTTACTATTGTCTTTTTCCTCTACTTCTTTTGTATGTTTGTCACACTCTTGTGAACTGCTGTTTCCGGGGTGCTTTGATAGTTGAAGCAGACTTTGTGCTGTTAAAGCTAGAGAGTTGAGCAGAGTAAGCCTGATTCCTTGTAAGTTCTTCTCTGTTGACATTCACCCCTTGGCGCTCATATGACCTTAGGCAGTTGCGAGCGCCGTAAAACCCCTTACAAAACTAAAAAGCTTGCACTATATGTTTCCCGGGAAGCCGAAAATGTTTCTCAGTGTTCTATGGTCTGCAGGGTTTATAATATAGGGTGTAAAGCGCATAGAGCTTGCTGTTGAGCAGGGGTATGTGCATATACAAATTCTAATTATTATTATTACAAGTATTTTTTCATTGTTTGTCTGTCAGTTTGCCGAGAATGCAAAAAAAGTGATCAACAAGCCACAGCAGAATGAGGTGCTGACTGACCGGGCCATGCTGAAGAAAAAACAAGACGAAATTAACAAACTCAAGAAAACTATTAGACAGGTTAGCTGTATCTGTTTTTGTTTTTTTCTTTTAATTCTTTTCCTTCTTGTCAATGTCTCCCTCTCTCTCTTTGTCTGTCTGTCTGTCTGTCTGTCTGTCTGTCTGTCTGTCTGTCTGTCTGTCTGT